ATATATTTATTTGTATTTTAGTTTGAATATGTCGATTTTTTGGTTTTCTTGTCGTTAATCAGTTCTTAGAAAATCGTGTCCCAGTCGCACCTAACTACACATGACTCAATGCGTATACAAATCTCATGCACTTCTTGTCTAGGGACCAGCCAATCAGATTACGGGTTACAAACGCCCCTGAGCGTGACTCAAAACGTGGCGGCGTACGCCAGCTACTTTTTCGTGAGCTGAACCTCATACAACTTATTAACAACGCAGTTTTTTCGATGATGGATCGTTGTCTAAAATAACAAGTAAGTAGCATTCATTAACCAGTTTGGCCTTGATTGTATTTCATTTCTGTTTGGCGGTAGATGAATTGAATGTGCCAGTAATGTTGTTTTTTTGCATCTGGATCAGCGTCGGTTATCCGGTATCAACTTCAAGTCGTTTTATCTCAATCACGATCTTTACTTGGAAATTCCTTTTTGTCGATTGTTTCTAAACTAAGAATTCATGAAGCATGGATGTTTTTTCTACTGCTCCCGGTTGACAGATTGGTCACCGTCAACACGCATGTTTAGGATCGGGACCAACAACGCCATCAATTCATCGTGTTCCATGTTGTTGTTACTTCAGAATGAACGTGACACGCGAGAAACAATTATCCTTCAGGACAGATGAATGTGTCGTTTGTGAATTTAGTTTTAGAAACAAACTATTCGTGTGTCGGTAATATATGTCTATAGTATTGCGTATATCAGCAAATTTACATAATATTTATGTTAATCACCTATAATTGTATTTATTGGCGAGCATTACTAACAGCACAGCTATCTCAGCAGTCAAATCTTGTACTACAAATTTCATACAATTTATGTTATGAGATTAATGCAGCACATGGATTAATTTAACATGCTAATTAGTATTTTCTGAGACATGATGCTATACTATAATTCTTTTCATACCAGTTCTGATTTTTTATAAAATATTGATGACTTCATTGTTCTTGTTCATGTCTGATCAGAATTGATTCTATCTATTTTTAGTCAGTGTTTGTAATGCAAAATGTCTTAGTTTGAGGCGAGTTTTAGTCACTTTTACAAAAACCTAAGTATCTTTTGTGAGCAATCACGATTGACGTATGTAATTAATTTGAGATAGCAAATATCCACCAGATATTGTTAGTATCCATGAATTTGATATTTAACCAAGATTCTCAACAGGCATGTTTGGAATAGTTGTGCTATGTTCTATTTAAACCGTACCATCACAATTAAGTAGGTAGCCACATATCCCCGCTGAATGACTGGTGAATAGCTGCCAAATACTTTTATTTTTATAAGAGTCTTTTCAGTAAATATATTCTTTAAGAGTTAAATATGTATTGATACTTAAATAAACCTTGTTCTGTATTTTTTTTCTAGCAAATGATCATTTTATGCTTATGAAAACAGCTGGGAAATAAATTAATGGCTTAATATGCCTTTAAATATATGCCACGTTTCAAGATGTCATTTATTTAGGTGATATGGTTCATTGCGCTTTATGTTAATGATGTTATCATTTGATGCAAAGTCTTCAAATAAGTTAACCCTCCTACATACTGTTACATTTATTATATATATATATATTTTTAATTTACATGATAAAACTGAGATGGTTCATCATCTCTACAAACTCCCCTGTATTATAACTTTCAATATCGAAAGAGGGATTTAAATGGAGTACATGAGTTGTTTTGATAAATATGCCCATACCAACGACTGTGTGGCAGAATATTAATATCAAATTTGAGTTGGACACTTCAGCCATTTCCTTTGTATGCGATTCTTGTACCATACTGTCAGTTTCACTCTAGTGCATTTGCATATAAAAAAAACTAAAACTCCTCTTTGAAATAATGATAAATAGCTCCAGTTGCGTCAATTAATGAATTATAAATAATTGTTTGTGGGAAAGTATGTTTCTCTTCTTTTAGCTCATCAACCATCCAATAAAATATGGATGGACTGTCCCTAGGAGTCTTTAAAACTGACAATCCAATGTTCCCTATTTGGGCAATGTTTATAGTCTTTTAATCTGGAATAATGTAATGAGGCTGTCTTTCAACTGGGACTGTATAGACTTTGAGGCTATTGTGGTCAGTGCAAGGACTGTAACACCAGGTAAAATCCCTACAAAAAAGATCACAAAAATTATCATTCGAAGGTAAACGTGTACAAGTTAGGACTCCAAATCTAATCATTTTCCTGATTTGGGAAAAAATATTCTCTAATATAACATAGAAATTTTGTTAGAATGAGCACTTTTATAATGAATTGTACAAATAACTTAATGAACCAACACAGCTCTTTACACATGCAGTAGTTCTAACATTGTTGCAGCCATCTTGAAATAACCAGAAACGATGGGTCTGGCGCATGCGCAAAGTCAGACACTATGATTGGACGACAAAACTGATCTCGTTGCACGAGATTTTTATACGCATTGAGTCAGGTGTGGTTAGAGGCAACTGGAGTTAAACAGCAAGAAAAGCAACAACAAAAAATATTATAAAAAGGTAATAAAACAAAATTAAAGCCTCATACCTACATCGGATTTTAATTAGATTGAACCATATCCTGCGTTACCCAGTCGCCATAGTAACACCACATTTGGGCACACACAAACATTCAACATAGATACAGAATATTAATTAATTTTATGCTGTGTACGAAATATTTGACAATGTACACGTTTTTAAATTTAATTTAAAATCAACCCTGTATGTATCGACCATTAATTCATATTGTTGAGCTGTATATGCGATACTCCGCATTACACTCTAGATTTTGCCAATTTGTCATAGGAGTACGCATTTTTCATTCATGTTTTCTTTTATTGTCAGCCATCTGCCATTTTATTTATAGCCCGAGAAATAAATAGCGATGTGCGTATTGTTATCAATACATGTCACATCATCACTCTTAAACTGCCTTTTCGTGACCTACATTCAATCATTATTCATAACGGTAAAAATGTACGCATGCGACCAAATTACATGTAGTTTAATCCGTGTCAATCCAGCACACAAATTTGTATATTTAATCGAATCTACTCCCTAATTACGACGATGACGTCTTTATCACTGTTTATTTTTTTCAACATATAGTATGACATGTATCAAACGGCATTTCCAATTTCGTCAGGACCCGATTTGCAGAATATCGCTACATACGAATAGACATAGACCAATAGTTTCGGATTACCTGGTTTGTCAAATATATACGCGTGAAGGGGGGTCGACGTACGTTCGCTTTCTTATTAGACAACTATTTAACTAAAACAGCTCTAGTTTTTAGAACTGTTTATAAAATAATCATTTCTTTTGAAATACCAGTTCACTTCACACTACATCGAAATTGAACAACATCTTATATACAATGGCCACCATTTCGCCACGTATCGATGGGGGAGTGGATAGTTTATCGACTTTTTAGAACTATATTAAAATGGTTCAACACATGTTCTGAAACAATAATGATGTGTATAATTTTAAATATTATTGTTTGTGGAGATGATATATGATATTTATATATTCGAAAATGATTCATTATATAGGCATGATACGAAAAAAAGTATTCGTGTTAAATAAATTAATCAACACTGCGGGAAAGACTTTCTGTTTACGATATCGTGAAATTCTTTTATTTGTTTTACAAGGTAAAATATTTTTTTTTAAAGTTATTGTTCATACATGAGTTTTTGAACACACTACCAAGTTTGTAATTTTATTAAGCTTCTTTCAGTCATAATTCAAGACAAACAAAAGACAAAAATATGGGGAATATAGCAAATTTTCATTTTTCTGTAATATTCTTGTGTAATCAGTAATTATGAAAATTAGTTATTGGTGCATAGGAAATACATTCGTCATTATTTTTACTATAAATTTCTGAATTATCATGTCAAAATCATTTTTTCAGTTTGTATTCCTCTCAAAAATGAAAAGAAGTTCACAATGTCGAAAACGGAAGTCTTTATCGTAGTGTTAATTCATTTATGTATTCTTTAAGTGAATACTAAAAATTCTATTTAATATATCAAACAATGTAGATGACACATTTAGCAACACAAAACGCTAGGTGGCGATGTTGAAGCTATTTTAATTTTAGTTTATTGTTGAACGTCTAAAACTACACTCTCACTATTTGTTAATTTTGATATTCACCTTTTCGCGAGAATTGCTATTATTTCAAACAGTTATAATTAAATTCATTTTCAACGTCTGTTCGAAAATTATGTATAATACACTTTACGGAGATCTTAATAGAAGTTTTTCTGCAGTCCTTTATGATTATTGATTAATTGATATATTAATTTGAAAAATCAATAAAAAAGTTATTTGATTGGTTATTTGGAGCACATCATTTTGACTTTTGAATAACGAGTTGACTTGACAAGTTCATTATATTATTCACTGGCATTTCCTGTCTGTGAGACCAACAATGCAAATGTGAATAATAGTTGTTAAGATGTTGAATTTTGTACTGGGGTGGAGCTTTACTACCTCTCCGGCTGAGTAAACAAATAATGGTCGTCTCCAGACCACACGCCAGACCACATTGGAGTGTGTGATGTGTGCGTTTCTTGTGGAAAATAAGTGTTGTTGTTTTGTTTTTGTGAGAATTTCGATCGGTTGATATCTTTCGAATGCGGCATCCATAAACATAACGGTGTGATTAAGTCGGTCAATGACAAAGCAGACAGTTTAATGTTCAAACTCCTGAATCGATAACTTATAATTGTAATTTGACTAACACTGGATAGTAGTGCCTATTTGCACTTTTTAGTCAGCAGCGTGTACACACGTTTTGTCCCAGCATAAACTCCAGTTGATGATATAACATTATCAACTAACACAGCTACTGCAACGTAAATATTGCGATAAATTACTTTCATTCTGGTGATAAAATAAGCTAAACTATTCATCTGTAGTGCCGGATTTACTCTGACAACGTAAAAAACGAAGCAGCTACTCAGTTTTTTTTATTTATTTGCCTTTCACCACATGCAATATATTCAACTTTGGAATCGTAGTAGTTTTTATTAAAATTCATATCTGCATTAGATAAAAATGAAAGATGATTACAGGACGCCAGACACGTAAGTGTTGTCTGGTTTTACTACTGAATTCACTACGTTTTTCAGTGTGCACACCATAGTCTTCTTATTCCATGCCCAGGCAAGACATCCATTTGTAGCCACACAGAAATTATAGCATTCACATGGCTCATCAAAGTTGTCCTCTATGCCCATATCACCGTCAGGTCTATCACTCCTGTCAAGACGTGGACAAGCTATAATAGAGAGAGTGAAGATGGTATATACAGATGCTCTTTAAAACGCCTCTTGTTACATTCCCTCACAAATTGCCTTCTTACCTCAGACAGTAGAGTGGCCTCCTCTGTGGTTTAGAGGAGCAAAAGAGTCCAGGTTCAAGTCAAGTTTACGCTCCTTCAATAATAAGCATGAAGTGTCACTTTTAGATTAAAATCATATGACGTCATTGGTGACCACTTCTAACCAGTAGAAAATACTGAAAGTATTTCTTGAATACTTTTAGGGATTTCAAGAAATTCCATTCAGGTGGCATTACATATGACTATATGACCCCCCCCCTTCTGGTGCCGTAGCCGTTATTGGTTGTTACTCTCTCAAATAATTACAGCACGATGAAATGGTGTAACGTCATGATCTTGTTTTGACGGTATTTAGTTATTTAGAAATAAATCAATAATTTGTGATGTGTGCCAATAGATACTTACTGTCAGTCTTAACACCAGATGCATGTTTACCGTTGAATGTCAAGGTTTTAATATCACTGTACATTTTACAGATACGTCCTTGTTTTTTAAAGTCCCACATCTGACATGCAGCCCCCATGTCTTCACATGCCTTGTAACAGTCACATGCCCTGTTTTCATTCTGAGTTGCAATTAAAGTGTCTCCGATCCTTGTGGTCTTGTCCAATTTGGGGCAAAATCCTACACAAGCAAGAAGTAATTTAAACCTGACTGTGCCATTTAGTAAATGTGCAATAACTTAAAATTGACTATACTAATGATATTTGAAGTGCATATGATGAATTCCTGTGATTTATTCAGGAAATCATTCGCTCAACATATATGTCAATATAACTATGGCACTTTCAATTATGAAACATGATATACAAATATGGGTGATATATGCAATGAGTGCCCAGTAACATATGCATTAC